GTACACCTGATTGGCGTATACCTCTGTATGATGGTTCAAAACCTATGTATATTTTATTTTATTTTTTTAATTGATGTATTTTTTTGGAAGTGTCACCTTTGAGACTAAAACGTTGGTGCCCACTCAAAGTCCACTATGCAAGTTTAAGTTGTTTCCCTGCTTTGACACACCTTATTGGAATGAATGATTGATTGATTACGAGGTTTTTGCAGAACTTTAAGACCCAATAAAGAGCAGGGAAACAACTAAAACATGCAGGAAAGCGGCCCTAAGGCCTGGATTGGGCACCACTGGCTTGTGGTCAAGTCATTTTTGTATTAATTCTGAATGCAGTCATGGTTTGAAATTGCAGTCCAGGAAACAGACATTCAATATCTGAACTTTGACACATTGGGTTGTCTGGTGATCTCTAWACAGTAACATTGGTTGGTTGCAAAAGTTCATTCAGCAACAGATTGTCCTAATCTTGATGAACCCCATAACTCCACAAGAACTCTTTCCCGCTTGTGGCCCTGAGCTTGCACAACTCCAGACTGTGGAGACTCAAAGTGTAACTACCTTTTATATTCCTCAGGCAGGAGGTTTTGAACACCTTTGAGAACGGCTGCATGCTCTCCTGACCTCTCCAGGTAAAACTGGAAGCTGTCCACAGCACAGCCCTCATAGCAAGTTTGCTTTGCTTCTGCAGCCATGATTGCTCCCTGCAACGTAAAGAAAAAAAAAAAGAAAAAAAAAAGAATCCAACAGTTCCTCAGAAAGTCTATCTTCAAAGAGGTGTTTCAAGCTTTTAAAGTTACCTTGAATTTGTGGATATGACAAGTGGAGGCAGGGTTTCTGTGCTCTTGCTCTTCCAAGCAGCGGGGTTGCACTGCCCCAGCAGTAATGCTGGTCCTCCTTCTTCACTACAACGTTGTGTTACATAACCGCTGGACTTTGGCTGAATTAACAAAAGCAGCTGCTGCAGTGTTGACCGACAGTTTCACTGAACAAAAAGAGGTTTCTGTTTTTTTTTAAGTTCTCTTCATTGCCTATGTTCATCCAAATACGTTTACCAACACTTTTATCCATTTTATTGTTTTATGGATGTACACTAGACACTTGTTTTCTGTTACTTTCCTCTTTCATGAGTTTTTGTGCAGTCACTGCAATAACACATGATGTCCACTAGTTGGAGACATCTGCTCACAGATCTGACTGAAGGTGTTCCCCCCCTTTTTTTTTCCCCAGAACAGAACCAAAAGTGTTGAAGACTAGTAGTTGTAGATCCAATTGCTTTCTAAAGGTTTCTTTTCAAATCATCCAGGTCATATGTTTTGCTAAGCAACTCATTCCAACAAWGTTCAAGTTTTAAACAGAGTAGCACATGAATATCAAACCAAACATCACAGCAAATTTTATCTCARTATCTGTAAAACTGACTGTGATATAGCAGCATTAAAAACTCTTAGTGTTCACTCAGTTTTGAGGTCAAGSGTAAAAGGCAGTATCTGTATTTAATTGCTTGAATTAAATACTAAATGTTGCATTAATTACAAATGTTTGCCAGGCTGTCATAAATCAGCACATGCAGTGAAGTCCAACTATACCCAGCTCTGAAGCAGCTTTAAAGCCCCAGCATTAATTCTCTAATGCGAACAGTTTTACAAATAGATTACATTGCAGTAAAAAATAATAATAATAACAATAATAGATAAAAAGCCTAGGCACACACTTTTTTTTTAATTTGCCAGTTCAGGCTCTCGCTGATATAAATACAATCTGCAACTATTTTAGTGTTTAATGCACAATTACCTTCAGCTTTTCTAAAATGAGTCTCAATGAAAAGTTAATTGTCCAATTTTCTATTTATTTTTAGATTTGCAAAGAAGCAGAGTGCTCTCCACTGACAGCAGAAGCATCATGGGGTTTAGGCAATAGCCTGCCAAGTGCAGCCTATTAAAACTCATGACGGTAAAATCTGAAGTTAATTTCTGTAACTGACTAAGACTGATCTTTATTATGAGAATTTTTGARTGGCTCATAAAATAAGTGAAAATTACATTAAAGGGGTTTTCAATTTGCACAGAGTGATACAAGATTATAGTTATTAAATTTAATCATTAACAGCACAAGTACAGAAATGAAAAACAAGATAAAGACTACAGTAATTCACCATGTTTTAAAAGTATTTCATCATCTGTGTCATAAACTTGCCGCCATATAGTATCGGTGTGTCTTTTTAAGTTGGTTTATCAAGGATTATGACTCCAAGGTTGTTGTTAAAGATAACTTTGCCCTCGTACTCCGTGCTGCACTTTGGGTGCTGAAGCAGCTCCAGCACGCAGGTTTTCAGCTCCCGAGAGGCAGTTTTACTAAAGTTCAGCACCTCTGTGAGGAAATCAAGCAGCAGCTCTCCCTTCTCATCGCCTTCAATGAAACACTCGGTGATATCCATTTGAGATTGCAGGTCAAAGCTCTGGTAGCTCACTCCCTTGGAGTCCAGGTAGCTTTTGATGTCTCTTGTGGTTACACACTGACTTATTTCTGTGTTGCAGAACTGGCTCCTGAATTTCTGCCACAACATCTCCCAGCCGCTGTTCTCTGGAACAGATGCAAGAGAAATTAGGCTAACATTAGCATAACAATGAGGACAGTATTTACTGAGGGTGTAACAGTACACCTGTGTCACTTGTGCATACATCGGTACGATGGTTACTGTTCAAAAACTCCAAACACGCTATATATATATATATATATA